GATCAGGCTCAGTGGTAAAGTGCCCCTGGGTTCAACCCCAGTAACCCTCACCCCTTGAGAAAAGTGAGATTATTTTAGTATTACCTCTTCCCCTGTCAAAATACAAACAAAAGTCTTAGGATAAAGCATAGCTTCTACCAGGAAGTCTTATCTCAGGATGGATATGTTCCTATTTATGTAGTCTCTCTTTTTCTAACATTCTGTACAACATCACCCTTTTCATCCTCATTTTGGTACCAGCTGATATTTGGTAATGGATATGTTAGGTAAGACCATGTTAAGAACATGAAAAGGATTTTTAAGAATCCCCCAGGTAAACCACTTAATACAGTTTATTTTTCTATAAAGTCACCAATATTCGGTCTCTGCTTTAAAAATTTTAATTACTGTGAGTACTGGTATTTGAAAGATTCCTTTGTATACTATGTATCACTTGCACCTTAGTGCTGGCTACAAAGTAAGAGCTTAATAAATTATAGCAGTTACTACATTTATAGGGAAGGGCTGATTATTAATAAAGTCTTCCATAATCCTGGCATGGTGGTGCACACCTATTAGTCTCAGTTATTTGGGAGACAAGGACTCTTTTACTCAGTAGTTCAAGGCTAGCCTAGGCAACACAGTAAGACCTTATTTCAAAAAACAAAACAAAACCCTTCTTCCTTATACTTAGTTGAAATCTGCCTCTCTGTAATTTTAATTCATGATTCTAGATCTCTTTTAAATGATCAATGTAAATATGATATAGATACTTAAAATAATTCTACCCCTCCACACCTGTTCTCTGTGTTAAACATTCCCAGCTTTTTCTGTCTTTTCTTTTCTTTCTTTTTTTTTTTGTACCTGGATTGAACCCAGGGGTGCTTAACCACTGAGCCACATCCCCAGCCCTATTAAAATTATATTTAGAGACAGGGTCTCGCTAAGTTGCTTAGGGCTTCATTAAGTTGCTAAGGCTAGCTTTGAACTGTCAATCCTCCTGCCTCAGCCTCCTGAGCCACTGGGATTAGATGGCATGCACCGCTGTGCTCAGCTCATTCCCAGCTTCTTATAGCTTTCTAAATACCTCATCCATGTTTTCTCCCATTAGAGTGCCATATGTACCCATCATTTCTTTTAAATTATGAAGTCCAGAGCTGGTTGCTAATAATTTACGTAAAGTCTTACAAAACCCTACAAAGTAGATCGTACTATGACTTCCAGTCTTCCTTGCTGGGGACATCATATATCTGGTAAAAATAACCTTAGATTAAGGTTAGAACTTGTGCATTGGCAGGTATAGGTAGAGCTCTAGTAGGTTAGTTTTACAGATAATTGCTACCTTCCATTTCTCTATGAATTGTTTCTTAAGCCACATCCCCATTCCTGCACTTACACGAGGGACATTTTGATAGTGCACATGTAGATCTTTGTATTTTTCCCTGTTAAATTTACTAGTTTTGGCCTACTCTTTTCATCTGTCAAGTTATATAAAGCCTCTATTTTTTTCAATAAGCAAATTAGACATTTTTTATGGTTACCCAACCCTCCAGTGTCTGCTTCCTCTTGTTAAAGACTAACAGTATTTCACAGGTTATAAGTGGAATCACTTATGCATTTATTCTTTGTTTGAACAGTTACTGTATGTCAAGTACAAGGGATAAAGCTTAATACATCACTAACAATATCAGATAAACAAAATACTGTATGATCCCTGACCTCAGCTGACTTATTTCATTTTGTAGTGCAACATTTCCTGTTTTGTTAAATATTTAATGGTTCATTATGCTTGTGCAAATATATTACAAGGGAGTATATTACATGGCAAATTAGTAATAAAGATAATAATTCTGTGCATTTGCAGTGTTGCTCTGTGAAATATAGTAGGGAGACCTGTTTTAAGTCCTTGTCCCTAGAAAAGACATTGAAATGATTTGCAGCCAGTTTTCAAGGATTCTACCTCTGAAACCTGTGCACTACAAAATGAAGTCTGACCTTTTCTTAAAATAGGTTCTAGGAAATGAAGTAAGCTTTGTTTAATCCGCTGTTAAAGTCTCATTTTTCAAACAAGTGCATTTATAAAAGCCCAATGTTGGAATAACTCACTAACTTACAGGTTTCTTTATTTTATTTATTTGTCTGGATATCTCCAAATTGTGTCATCCTTTAATCTTTCTCTTCCCATGTGCTTGGTATATTTATGGAACATTTATTAAGGTAGATTGCTACATTAGTTTTCCAATTATGAATCATACGCAACTAACCAGTTTACTGTCAGGAATATATATATATATATATATATATATATATATATATATATATATATATAAAAGAAGAAATAGCTTGAAGATTTCTTTGAAAGCATATTTTGTGCATATCAGGGTAATCTTTATTTAGGTGCTCCATTAGTTTTTTTTTTTTTTTTTAGAGCTTTATGGTGCTCCATTAGATCTTTCTGAAGCTGAACGTTAACTTGAAGTTTTCCAGTATTTCCAAAGTACATATTTAGATTTAACTCAGTTGTTTATTCCAGTTTTACTGTTTTAGGAGATGTGTTGGTTTCTTTCATATTTCGTAATTAAATTATTTTTAATGATGAACTATTTCATAGATTGACTCTGTGACTACTTTTTCTCTGAGATACACCAGTGGGGGAAAGAGATTATATAACAATGTAGAACAGAGTTAAGGAATGCCAGGAAAGTGGAGGATGAAGAAAAGTTTGTCAGATAGTCAACTTTCACTTTTTGAAAGAAATTATAGTATTAGTGGGGTACATTGGCTTTAGAAAAAAAGGGTCAAATATCTGACCATCCTTTATTTTGCTTAACTGATTTGGTGAATTCATACACAAAAATAGTATTTTAAATGTCATTTCTTGGGGAAAAAATCAAACTTTTGGTTTCTCAAATTTGTAAAATTTCTTATTTCTGGGTATCAAAGAATAACTTATTCCTTGCTCACCCATCAATTTTCCCCAACTTCTATAATTTTTCCCTTGGGATAGTGATAAGAGAAAAGAAACCAATTTATGACTATTAAGTGAAGTAAGTGGTATTAGAAAAACAAGAGTTCTATTTTGTATTCTTCTAAAGTGCTAACTTTATAGTCTTATACAGTATTTTCTAATAAAAGAGAGTGTATTATTTTTTGTTTCCCTTTTTTTTTAAATTTCATTTTTATTTATTTTATGTTTATGAGATAATGAGGATTAAACCCAGTGCCTCACATGCTAGGCAAGTACTCTGCCACTGAGCTACAGCCCCAGCCCTCCCTTGGGTTTTGATGAAGCTTAATTAAGTATTTATAAAGCACAATAAGATCTATGGATAAACACCATATAACTTCTAAATATGATTAATAATTACTGAAAAGAACAGATAATTTTTCTCAATTTTATAGTAATTAGAAAGTAAACAATTTAGGTAGAAAAAGTATGAGAGAATACAATAGTATTAAATTTGGCATGGAAAGCCTTTATATTAAGTAATTTCCTAGCTATGTAATCCCATCTTTTGAAGTATTATTACCGAAAGTTTAGAAGTATTTGGATGTTCTTGATGCAGAGTTGTTTCTTGGCTTCTTTCTTTCGAGTCTATATAATGCTACTTGCTAAATCTAGATGGTTATTGAATGGAGTAAATATTTTGCAAGTTAGAGCTACTTACACATTAGTGTGATTTATTCTTGCTTATATAAAATTTATAATATTGGATTTTTCTAAACCCTGAGTTTATATTTTATTTCTTAAACAGTATCTGGCATATTATAACCTGGCATGATTGTGTTTCTATGTACAAGATAATGTGGATTAAAGAACAGTATCACAGTCCTGAGTTTTAAGATATATAGGTTGTAGGCATGAAGCCAGGTTGCAAAGAGAAATCACACCAGGTCACAGCACAGTAAAGCATCTGTGCCTGAGGATGTGTGATTTTCTTACTTCATCTATCAGGTTCCCCCATTAGGTTCATTTCCTTCTTGAGAGAAGTGACACATTTTTTTTCTGGAGAGAGACAAGTAATGAGAAATTTTCACATATAAGGTCATACTCCATCAGAGCATGGGATCACTTTGATTTAAGCTTAGAGAAGAATTTTTTTTGCACATGGACATGTTGGGACATAGACTAGATGGAAAATGTGGAACTTGACTATGTAGTCTTTGCCACCTATTTTTCTTATTGGGGTAAAATATATGTAACATTAAAATTTGCCATTTTAACTATTTTTAGGATACAGTTCAGTGGCATTTGAGTACATTTCCATTGTTGTGCAACTATCACTGTCATACATCTCCAGAACTTTTTCATCTTCCCAAACTGAAACTCCGTACCTACTAGACAATTGCTCCCCCATTTCTCCTTCCTCAATCCCTACCACCACCTTTCTACCTTCTATCTCTATGAATATAGTGTTTATTCTTTTGTGACTGGCTTATTTTGCTTAGGCTAATGGCTACAGTTTATCCATATTGTAGCATGTAACAGAATTTTATTCCTTTTTTGGGCTGAATACTGCCCCCACTGAATATATACACTACATTGTATTTACATATTCATCTGTTGATGGATGCTTGGGCTGTTTTCACCTTTGGGTACTATTTGCTTTAAAATTATTTCTTGTGTCTATTATAGAAGAAATATTTGGGATTTTGACAGGAACTTATCTAGAACATCAAATATGGTCTTGACAGTATCTATTTCCAGTTAGTGGAAATTTCATTCATTTAACAAAAATGTAAGTGCCTGCAATGTGTACTATACTCAGTGCTGAGAGAACAGTTGTGCAGAAAAATGTATGTCCTAATGTCTAGCTTTCATTGAACATTAGGGTACATGGGATGGAGCGGATGAACTGCTTGAATACTCTCATGACTAACTGTAAAATCACAACTGTAATAAGTGAGAGATGAATACTGTTGTGATAACCCTGAGGGCATTTTACCAGTATGTTTTTGGGGGCAGAAGGGGAGACAGGAAGGGAGGGAGGGAGAAGGAGAATTTCAGACAGAGGAAGTAACATTTACTAAGGCCATTTTGCCCATCAAGGAAGCAAGAGAGCCCTAGGACCTGGCATGAAGAGTGAGCTTGGGCGTGGTGTAAGTCTGGAAAGTGTGCAAGGCTTGCAGAATGTTGGGGTTTGGCCTTTAAGCTGAGTGCAACAGGAAGCCACTGAAGTGTTTTAATTTTAAAAGTGGTGCTGTGAATGAAGATGAAATGATCAGACTTTCATTTTTAGAGGATTCCAGGAGATAGTATGGTAAATGAGTTGGATGGAATGGTTGGAATGACTCTAGGCCACTGGATGAAGGAGACTTTTGCTGTTCTTAAAGCAGAAAATAATGGAGTGGTATGATAGCAGCAGAGATGAAGAGAAATCTAAGTTGGAGAAAAAATTAGAATTTAATTTACAGGTTTTGTGATGAGTGGAAGCAGGTGTTAGGATAACCAATTATCCTTAACTGAGTATGGATGTATCAGTTGTGCAATAGGATCACAGTGGTCCTTCATTTGTGGAATCTGCGGGAAAACAGGAAATAGTGAAAACCAAAGCAGGTAATTCTTGATTGTGAAGTGTGGGAAAGAGGTGAGACTGCAGCATAAGGAAATGTGAGGTATAGGAAAGACTTCTGTTTCTGTTGGCTTTTTGAAATGAGAGAACAGAACTTTTAAAAGTCAATGTCGATTATCTCTGGTTGTGGAGAAGTGGTTAAATATGTGTGGGAGAAGAGGGACAGCGCATGATGGGAGTCTAAGAAAGAGATGGGAATGGGTGACAAAAAGAATGTAAATCAGGGAATGGTTTCCTTTAGGGATGAGGACAAAGGAAGAAAGATGATAGAATGGGTGCAGTCTTAAGATAGACGAGAAACATAAGTTAGCAAGCACTGACAGTTGCAGAGAACATTATCAAAGATGCTAAATTTCTATATCTATTTTCTATTCCTTATACCATTTATAAATCTGAATGAGAGGAACTGACCAATGATTCAGAAAATAAGTGTCTTTATTCTTTGTCAACTATAATGTACTCCTTTAAATAAATCTACATATGTAGGTAAAATTAAGAGTTTATGGTAGAATAATGTATTCTTACTGAATTTCAGCACTCTACCTATAGAAGTTTGGTTTGCTTTAAAAAAAAACTGGGTGGATTTATTTTAATATTATTGACAAGGCAGTGTGTGTGTGTGTGTGTGTGTGTGTGTATGGGTGTTTGTGAAAAATCACCTCTAAATTTACACAAAGCTTGCTAAGCATGCATTTAAATTTTTTTGGTGGATATTCGTTTACTATAGTACAATGATATTGAGGGTGGGGTAAAGGTCACATTGATTCCTTTATCCTCACCTTGGTGAAAAATCATAGTTTAGTTCAAAGCTGTTCAAGTAAGTCCTTGCTCCGATTTCCCACCCTGTCTTCAGTGATATTATTTGGAGTCAGCAATCAATGGATTCCATCCCTCTGAGACTTGCTTAACCTACAGCTGCTGATATAATACAGGCAAGAGCTTGTTACTTTATCTGAATTGTCCATCGCTACCTTAATGAGTGAAATGGTTAAGTAGAGGAGGGGGCGAGCCTTAAGGAATGTGTGTACCGTTTGAGCTGAATATTTCAGTGTATATAGGGAGAGGGAGGGTGAGAGAGAAATCCACTTACATCACTAGAACTGCATCGAGTGTGAGCCTTGCAGGTTAAGAGACAGACTACAGTGTCTTGCTTTCTGCAGGAAGCAGCAATGCTGTTTGTTTCCTAAGAGGAATTTTTTATTTAGAAAAGGAAGCTTTCTCTCTACCCAGGAAATGGCTTTCCTTGTGCGTTGCTATGCCAACTGCCTGCAGCCATGGTCCTCCAAAGTAAGCACAATAATGTAATTATATTGGTGTATTGCATTCAGACTCATGATTCTTGAGATTGTGTGTGTGCATGTGCTGTGTTTCTGTTAGTGACTCTCTTGCTAGCAGGCATGCTTGTGTTGAGTGTGAGGGACAGACATCATTAAATTAAATGTCCATCAGTGTCATGCTGCTAAGATTAATTGTGCAAACTTGGTTAGTGGAGTGGGACAGAGATCACTGGTCACCACTCTGTCAGCATCATTAGCAGCTAGGGAGGAGGTCCCGATTCACACGCTCTGCCCTGATTTTTTTTCTTTCTTTCTTTTTTCTTTTTTTTCTTGGTTGGAGGGGTCCGTATATGTGATTGCAAATGAAACAAGAGTGTTAACAATGCTTGGCTGAATGCTAGAGACCGGTTCTTATACCACCCTGGCTAATATAACTCTGTATTAAGCCTTTTTGAGAGGAATCTGTGTGCAGTCAGCCATTTTAGCTTTTTTTCCCCCCTTCTTTTCTTTTGCCTCTTGTTCTTCAGTCTCAGAAATGATCTTGTCGTCTTGGAAGATTGAGAGCTGTATGAGGTTTTCTCGGTCTTGCCATAGCCTGAGAGGGTTAGAGTTTCAATGTTATAAAAATGGAGCCGAGCACCGTTGTTCGGATTCCTTTTCTGGTCTACAAGTGTGAAGGGTTTTTTAAGCTTACCAGTAGTGACACTTTAAGCTGCAGCTTGGTTTTCCCTCCTCCCTCTTTTTTTTTCTTTCTTTTTCTTTTAATTTAATGCTGTAGAGGGTGACTTGCCTTCGTGAGAGATTGGTACATGATGTGTAAATTCAGTTCAGCATATGTTTCTTCATTATGAAACCACTAGCAGCCCCAGCTAACCATGGAGTTATGGGCCAGCAGGAGAAACACTCAGTAAGTATCGCAAATGCTGTGTGTGCTTGGGTAGCACATCATAGAGATCTGCTTTACAATGGGGATTGTTGCTCTTTCTCTTCAGGAAAAACAGTTTTTGTAGAGGGTATAATAATCTGCTTGGAGGAGGGAGGGTGAGTTCCAACTGGCTTGTTCTTCCAATTTTGCTGTAATTTAAAAAATATTAAAGCAAGACCAACAGTTTGTTTAAAGAAAAAGCATTGACATTGAGAAATATTGGACGGACTGCTTTTTATAATCAGAAACTAGAGCTTTTAGTATCTGAATAGTTTCAAAAAATGTTTTTTGTAGTTGAATTTAACGAAAGATCATAAGAGAGGTTACTGGGAATGGGAATCTGTAGTGAGGAATTCACACGTAGGTTGAAAGGAGGGATAGGTTTGGTTATTGATTTGGTAAGAAAACGATCAGTGGGATTCATCTGACTACTTAACATGTATTAATTGGTGATGAAAGCACGGAATTTTTTTTAATGCCACACAAAAAATTACTGCTTCTTTATAATTGCTCCCATGAGTCAGCTGTGCGATTGTCGTGCTGAAGTCCCACAGGCAGCCACTGCTGTTAGTGAGAAACACTTTTCTTTGCTAACACCAGGTCAGAGCTCCAGTTCCAGGAACGTGAGCTCTCACCCTGCTGCTTTATGTCACCATGCTGCAAGTTTTCTGCCATCATACAAATTCATAGCACTGATATTTCCATTAAATCTCACAGTGAAAATATTTGTGATTAAGCAGCACGTATAGTATTTTTGAAGTGTCTTGCATACCTAGCATCCAGTAGGTTATTACATTAGGGTATAGGAATTGTCTTATGTATTCTAAAAAAGGATGAGATGTTAAATTTCTAAAATGAGTATAAGTTGCTGAAGCTTTGAATATTTGTAAATAGGAAGCTATGAATTTAGAATATTTAGATGCTTAGGTTTATGAGTGTGGTTTGATTTCAAAAGTATTAACTACATACAGTAGCTTTCCTTAGATGAAGTAACCTGAAGGCATCGCCTCCCCTTGTGAGTGAGCCCCAGGATATTCTTGAGGAAGGTGCTGGCCTGGTGGCATGTTGTGGTACTCAGAGCCCAGCCCCTCTTAATGAGGTTCTTGTGGTACTTCACTAATTAAATCTCTTTGGATCAGATCCAAAAAAGGACCAGCCTATACTTAATTTCACTAATGGGAAAAGTTGTTACAGAGAAGTTCCATTGTAGTTTGATTTTATTAACAGGATCTTTAAAATTAAGCCCTTCTGCCATAGTGATTTCTTCCAGGTAAGAGTAGTAGTTAGTACTTAAGAATCTTAGAAACAAAATTTAAACCAGAGGGTCCCTCTTCACCTTGTGTATCATTTCTGCAAATAGGAGGACAGTATTAATAATGTAAATTAGCAAATAAATAAAGTTATTAAAACCACTCACTAGTAGAGGGAGGGAAAGTATTACTAGATTTATGAGAACAAGAGCAGTCAAGACAGGTTGTATCAAATAGTGTATGAACTAGAGCGCCTGGTATCATATTCTGTAAGCACATGTTTCCTAATAGGTTCTTCATATCTCACTAAAATTTAAGGTAATGATATGAGAAAGTAAAACTGACCACAATATAACTTTGTATCAAGCAACTTTTAGAAAACATGAATGATATTTCCACAATACTGTTGAATACTAAAATTTGCCTCCCCAGACTTTCATATGTGGCACAGTTGGCAATTGTGGTCTCTCTACTTGTTGACTAGGCATTGTGATCTAGACTTTGCTGTTGTCAATTAGGCCTTTAAATTGTAATTATATGTGAGAAGTTGAATAAGAGAAAATGACTCTGGCTCTCATATAATAGGTGACTCAGTCAGCAGTTGCAGTTGACTTGAGCAAAATGGAGCAAGAATGTCTCTCTTTCACCCTGTGAAACTTTTCAAGAAGAATGTCACAGCTAATTTCAAATAAGCCAAATTTATCAAATTTACAAATATTTATATTTTCGCTTCTTTGAGAAATTTGTGACTTTTTAAGCAGCTTTGCTTGTTTTAGTACAGAAAGGAAGGTGGTACTAAAAATACATTAAATTTGGGAAGCTTTTTGTTGTTGTTATGACTGGGTTTAAGAAGTAAACTCTTTTTATATTTTGTAAGAATCTTTGAGATCTTGTGGGCTTTCATTCTTTATTTTTTGATCTCATTCAGTGCATTATAATTATACAAGCACATAATAAGTATACAGTAAATACTGTTGACTTTCTCATTTAATTGAATTTTTGGATAATCTTAAGTTTCATTTAATGTTTTATGCCCATTAAACTAGCGAATTTTACATATTTCATCATGCCTTCTTCTGTCCCCTCTCTATCCATATATGCTCAGTTGATAATACTAAGATAATCACAGAAATTTTCCCAGCACTGGGCTGTATTTTTATTGTCATGCAGGGGTTTTTGGTTAGTCTTTAGAAGAGTCTTGTGGTTTCGTGAACATAAACATGTAAAAATCTTGTGAGTTTCTGAAAATTAAAGGAGATTGTTAGCACTTCTGAAATAATATTTCTGTATTTTTCAAAAGACAACAAGAGACCAGTTGTTGTACAGACTATAAATTGATGCTATCTGAAAAAACGTTTTGTAGGCTCCGTAAGTAGGGGGAAATATTGGAATAGCATTAAAAATCTCAACTTCTTTCTTCCTGTTTTTTTTTAAACCCTAGAACCTTTCTCTTCCCTTTTTGTCCACTTCATATGTCTTTAAAAATCTGTGATTATGATTAGGGATCACTTTGAAAATTTGTAAATTTTTTTTTGATTGTGAGATATAGTTTTTTTATTTTTGTAAAATTTTTTCATTAGTGCATTAGAATTATGCATGATGTTGAAATTTATTGTTTCTTATTTATACACACATACAGCATGCTTTGGTCGACTTTATTCCCCAGTAGCTCCCCACCCCCTTTCTTCTTCTCTACTGATCTCTGTTTTGTTTTCATGAGATGCTACCAGCCACCCCATGCTTTTTCCCTTCAAGCTTCCACATATGAGAGAAAACATATGCATGCCCCTTGACTTTTTGAGTTTGGCTTATTTCGCTTAACATCATGTTCTCAAGTTCCACCCATTTCCCTGCACACAACATACTTTCATTCTTCTTTATGGCTGAATAAAACTCCATTGTGTATATATACCACATTTTCTTTATCCATTCTTCTGTTGATGGACACCTAGGCAGGTTTCATAGTTTAGCTATTGTGAATTGTGCTGCTACAAATGTGGGTATGCATGTATTGCTATAATGTTCTGACTTTAATTCTCTTAGATAAATATTGAATGATGCTATGGCTGGGAAACTTAACAGTTTTTGATTAGATTCCAATAATTGAATTTGATGTATCAAACTGATAACCTGTTTTCCAGTTTTATATTTTGGTACATTATTGACTTCTGTATTATGCTATACTTATAATAAAACATACCTCAAGTCAAGATTAAATAATGATAAGAAAAGGTGGTATACATAAGGAATTGCCTTACTTAAATGTTGGGAATGAATTGCAGTAGCTACCTTAATTATTGAGCTCTTACTGTTTAGAGGGCATTGTATTGCATTTTACCTGACTTAAATCCTACAATAAACCCCCACGTTTAGAGATGAGGAAAGCTGAGATTAAAAAGCAGCTTTTCTTAGAGACTTATTACTCATAAATAGTAGAGCCATCAGTTGAAACCCAGGTTTGTTTAATGTCATAGCTCTAGTTTTAACTGCAAGCCTATACTACCTCCCTTAATCAGCCAAATTCAGTCAGAATGAGATATGTAGAGTATATATAATTGAGGTAGTTGGTATTGATCAGTGGCATACATGACTTGAAAAATTGCTTGCTTGTCCACTATTCTTTTTTTTTCTTGGTGTATGTGATGATATTCCAGTCACTGTTGCTATAAAAGAGCAACATATCAATCAAAATTATTTTATAAGACTTGTCATTGCTTGACTCAGTCAATAGTGCAGCTGTCCTTTTTGAAATTAATTATCTTGAAGTTTGAGTATGGGTGATCAGGAAAAGATGGCATTTAGCCTAGTTCTTTTTGTTTGTTTGGTTTTTAAGAA